GCTACGTGACCGGAACCACGCGGCCTGCGAGATCCCGTACCCTGCCCCTCATCCCTTACCATATATAAACTGTAACCCGTCCCTAATAAACTGAGGCCTTGACAAAGTTGCTTGGCCTCGTTCTTCTGTCTTAGCTCACTCCCTTCCAGGTAGCGCCCCTCCGAGACCCTGGAATAACTTGATTGCGGGTGGGTTACTAACCCCTAGACTGAGTAGCCCACCCAACGCAATCCACAAATGCTCACAATTTTCATTGACTTAAATTTAAATCAAAGAGTTATTAATTCTATATGGCTGCAGCAGCCACTGAGACGGGCTAAGCCAAGAGGGAGCAGCTCATCCTGCCGTATTGCAGTGAACTATGGAGTGGCCAGGAAGGCCACAGAACATGAGGTTAGGGGCCAGAGAGATGGCTCTGTGTGAAGGGGCTTGCTGCCATGCCTGGTGACCTGAAGGTGACCCCTAGACTTGCATGACAGAAGGAAAGAACTGACTCACAGAAGTTATCCTCTGACCTCCTTACCAACACCATGGTCACATTCACACCACACCCAAACCTCTACACATGCATACACACAATAAACAAACAAATAAATAAATAAATATGACTTTAAAATTGGTTTTTAAAGAGATTTGGTCAAGCCATGAGCTACAGCAAGAAGTCAGTTGGTTCTAGAAAGATGATGAGCCCTTCAGCCAAGCTAACTGTTTGGAACTGTGTAAACTATACCACCAGTCTCAAGTGGAGTGTGTGCACCCTCAGAGACAAATGGGATGATTCTCCTGTCACAGAAAGGAGAATTGGTCAGACTTTTATCTTTGAAACTAAGCATTGTGTTTTACTTATCTCTACAAAATGAGGAGAGCATGCATGCAGACTGCAAATTAAAATATTCTGCAGGTCAATCCGAAATGACTCCAGGGACTTTTTTTCTTTGTTTAAAAAAGCAGAGGACGGATGAATGGGAGGGAAGGAAAGGATTTCAAGACTCTCTTGTTGTCAGAGTGTGAGCTCAAAAGACTAGATGATCTCAGAGCTCAACACCTCGCTCACAAGGAGCCATCCCTGCTGACATTTCAGCAGCACAGCCTCAAGATACCAGAGGTGGTGTGGACATATCTGCTTGCTCACCGTGAGACCTAGTTTAACCCTAGTGTTTCCACTTCTAAACTCCTTTACCTCAATGGTTTCTCTCTTGTGCTCCATCCCTCTCTTTCCTCTTCTCTTCTCTCTTTCTCTTTCTCTTTCTCTCTCTCTTTCTCTGGTTCTGAAACTTCAATGTGACTGAAAACCACCCCGCAAGCTTTAAGTCGCAGATTTCTGAGACTGATCCAGATTCCGGGAAATGGGGCTAGGGAACCTGCATGTTGGATCAGTCTCCCCCACAGAGTCAGATAGTCACAAGACCCACACGGAAGACTGACTTCTTTAAATCATGGTGGTATTTCACTCCACTGAGAAGCTGGCATCTAAATGTGGACCAGGGGAATATTCTGATTTACAAGAAGGGCAGATTTTTACTGGCAAATGAATTTGCATCCAGTTACTTTATATGCTGTTTGCTGCTAGCGGATCGTAGGCAGATGCACTCAAACCATATTTCAGCCTGTCCCCGAGATGTCCGTGCAGATGAAATACCAAGTATGACTTTCAACCCGTAATGGGAGTCATTGTGGAATTAGCTGGATTAGTTTTGGCAAGGCCACACAAACAGACCAAGTTTCAAACTTCCCGACCCAACTGGGCTCCTGCCCTGCTCCCTGGGCAGTGGGAGATGACAATAACAAAGCAAAGGGGACGTTTGCTTCCCAGCATTCGGGCACCCAGAACCCAAAATGTCAAGCTCAGCATTTGTGGAAGAGAAGCTGAGACCAGCACCCCACCACAGATACTCTCTCTAGTAAATTGCCAGCATGGATGATGGAGACAGTCGTGTCTAAAACATAGCATGTGTTCCCAATCACAGCAGTGTGCCTGCGTTATGAGAGACAGCAGCCTCACAGAGCCCAGCCCCCTTCGCAAAAGTGCTTATGGATTTAACTCTGAAGAAGCTTCAGCCTAGAGAAGGCTGGTTACTGAGTCTCATCTGCAGCTATTGCCTGGTTGTTGGCAAAACATGAGGATACTGTGTGACAGGGTAAGCGGTACCCCCTCTTCCACCTGCCCCGTGTTCAATCCATCAGTGAGCAGGGGTTGGTGTATCTCTATTAGATTCCTAAGAAAAGAGAGATCAATGTCAGGTAAGACATCAGTTTCGTTGTGTTATGAACTTTGGTTGTCTGTCCCATGACTCAGTTTACCCTATTGAGATGGGCAGCTCTGAGAAATTCATCAAACATTTTTTTTTTCTTTTGACACGGGGTCTCACTGTGCAGCCCTGGCTGGCCTGGAACTCTCTTTGTGAGTCTAGCCTGGCCTTGGACTCCCAGAAATCAGCCTACCTCTTGCCTCCTAAATGCTAAGATTAAAGCCAGGCGGCACCACTCCCTGCTTCCTCAAATATTTTCTTAAATAATCAGACAGCAGGCATAACACGTTCAGAGCATTTGACTGAGTCTTACTTTTGAATGAGTTCTTTGCGTTTCTGAGCCAGGTATTTCTTCTTCAATGTCACCAATTCATTGCCAAGTCTCTCGATCTCATACTTGTACTCCTGGCTCTGGGATTCATACATATTCAGCTCTGATGACAGAACCTAACGTGGCAAGTGAAACCGTGTTAGCGCAGGAGGTACAGGAGACAGTATCATTTTCTGGAACATCTGCTGTAACCTGCTAACAGTCATCCCAGGCGCTAACGGTGCAGGTCACTGCCCGGGATTAATAATAGTTCAACAGCACGCTTGTACAGGCTCAGGGCCCATACCTGGATATTAATCAGGCCAAGGACTGATAACTCATAATCCAATGACAAACGTAAATGAAACAGCATGCCGTGCTTACAAGGAGGGCTACAGCAACATTCAAATGGATCCAGATGGGCGGTACAAAGTGTTTCAGAGAATATTATGAGTGGAGACAGAAAACTCCCAGATACACCATCTAGGCTAGCTCTTAGCCCTTTAAAATATATTCAAAAGAAAATCCCACTAGGGAGTGAGATTCTGGAGATTACGGTAAGGAGCGAGAGTCTGAGGATTACGGTAGGCGCCCCTCTGAAAGCATATTCTCCACCACTGACCAGGCTTTCATTTTATGTCTATGCCAGGGAGATTGTTCTGCTAAATGTCTGTCATCCTTTTCTTTGCCTTCTCCGGGACTATTCCCAGGCTCACTCTGTAGCTCAGCAGTGGGACACTTTAGCTCTTAGAAGCAGGGAGTTTGGGCCTGAATGTACAATGCAAGATCTTAATACAAAAGAGAGGCTGTAACAAGAAGCCTGACCCCCACTTCTCTCTGTGGCTGGGTTCAGTGAGTGCCAAGGGATATGAGCTGCACTAAGGCAGGGATAGACTCCCCCAAACAGGGCAGAAAGCATAGCTGTACTAAGGTGTGCTCCCTACCAAAATCCAGGCCAAAAAGGCAACCAATTGTTCTAAGGGGCACACACTCATTTTGAAGGTATTCATAAAAGTGAGAGGATCATCCTCCCACTTGTCTGCCTCTGTAGGCTTTCCTCTTAATTGTTGTAAACATGATTTTGGCCATGTTGGCTGCACTGAAGGACCTGTCCCAGTGGTTTGATTCCTAGAAACAGAGACCCTGTGTTGAGACTCCAGGTAATGGCATTGCTCTGTGGGACTTGCTCAGAACATCCTCCATCCCTCTGCTGCAAGGTGCTGCATTTTAGTCTGAGCTGAAGGCGAGGGTTTCCTGGGGTAAGGGACTGCTGGACCATAACGCCCTGTGGGGGCCTTTGAGGACTACCCAGAGCCAACTGTACGGAAGACAAAGGAGGCATATACTTTTCTAATTTATACTCACCCTGAGAAAAGAAGAAGAAAAAAAAATCATTTTGCTTGAAACATTCAATTGTTTCAGGAAATAAAAGAAACCAAAACGATGTGCCTTTCGCAAAATTCAAATCATGTCTCTGGGTACTCATGTGAAATGAACACTCACCATAATCTGAAAATTAATATTCTAATTCGATCGGCTTCACCTCTCTATTTTACTAAAGGATGCAATATTATAATGTCTTGTTTATGAAAATATTAAGCCTACACTAACAGGGTGCCACCTCTTTTATCCCCAGTAGAAGGGACGAATTATCACCCTTGTGGGGCAGGTCGGTGCCAGATGTCAGATGAGCTGCACAGACCGCCACAGATGTGGGGGGGGGGGGGCACAAAAGCTCTCTGGGTTTCTAAAAATAGCGACTGCCTGCTCAGGAGATAAAGTTGAAAATACGGTTCGAAGACGGTCAGCTTTTGGAAAAAACTTTCAAGAGGCCCACAGAATAAGAAAATTCTCCATGTCTCTCTCTGAGCTCAGCTTTTGTGGGACTTGGAAGGGAAAAGTATGCCAACAAAAATTTTCCATAGTTTAATCTCCCTTTCATGACTGTTTATGTGATAAGTGGACATGAGGCAAAGCTCTGGGGACCGGTGGGTGCTTCGCAAACATTTACTGTGGGTGGAAAGGAATACCAAAAAGCTGTTTTGCTGCAGTAATGGGCTTTGGTTTGGCAACAGTGTTTAATGTTCTTTCTGCCATCTGAGCTGTCTGAGCCGTTCTGTGACCTTCCATGTAAACCCTTCCTCCATTACAGAGTCCATCCTTCCTCAGCTCCTTCCTTAGAGCTCGCTCTCCTCCTTCTGGAATGATTAGAGTCTAATGAACTCTGAGAAAAGCTGTGGCATGGTGAGAGCCGGACTCACTGAGCAGCCCGAGGCACCCTCAAGGCAACTGTCCTGCCACCCGAAAGCAGGGACTGCCACTTACTTTCAGCTGCTTGGTCCTCTCCCGCAGCGTGTGCCGGTAGATCTGCAGCTGCTCCGCAGCCTCGGGGCCAGGCTGCCGGGCCAGGACGTGCTTCAGTTCCACGTACAGCTTCTCTTTCTCCTGGGGAGAGAGAGCGGAAGTTAAAGAGCCGGTCCAATGAAGGGGAGGGGCTTTCCCCACACGGCCCGTGGTTCCGGAGCCTTCGAAGCTACTTGGCAGTTGTACGTTCACTCTGGAGCTGTCACACCAGCTCCGGTCACGGACCTAGAATGTGCCCAGCACTTGGGGTCTAGCGACAAGGAACAAGACATGATGAGCACCCTCTCTATCTGGACACAGAGCAGTGCCATAGGGGTCCAGTGACTGCTCTCAGAGCAGGTGGGGAAAGGCTTGGGGAAGAAAATCATTTGAATGTCCTCTCTAAACACTACTAGAGACTTTTTCCTACAAAGAGAGAAGAGACTATTTTTAGGCTGAAATCCCAAGGCGGGATGAGATGTGGCCCTAAGAGTTCATGTGGTCTCAGAAGGAGTTACCTCACAACAGTGAGTCTAGGGGACAAGTCAGGAGGAAGAGAGAAGTGCCCACATCATGGCGAGGCTAAGCTCTATTGGGAAGGGCAAGCACATCTTTCTGGTAGTGAAGAGCCAGGAATGAGCGCGCCTGCTGCTGTCTTCAGAGGGAAAAGAACAGGAGGAGGGATAGCCCCAGGGACTCAGGGAAGACGGAAAACGGGGAAAGCTGAATCTCGCGTTCCTTAGGAGGAAACACAGGTGGAAGTAAAGACAGGTACTCAGGTGGAATCCATGGGCTTTGGTGAGGGATCCAAGTGTGGAAGGCAGAAACCCAGTGACTTTGGAGTCTCTGGTTTCTGCCTGTGCATGGGAGAAGGGAGGTTCATGGTGATGGAGTGAGCAGAGCAAGGCTGGAAGAGAAAGAGATGTCCCAGAGGCTACACTGAGTCTGGACCCTGGGAGCTGCAAATGCAGCCCAGAATCGAGAAGCCAAAGAACCAGCTGGACCAGGGCACCCAGCTCCCTGAGATAACAAGTATACGGGGGTGGGTACAGAACAGAGTGAGAAAAAAGGCTGAAGGGGTACAGCTCAGAACCCCTGAAAACAGCACAAAGCAGATGCCTTAGAAACAGGAGAGATGGCGTGCGAGTCATCAAATGAGATAACGAGAAGAAACCAGACAGCCTCAAACAACCTGAGCCAAACTGAAGTCAGCCCCAGCTCCCCTCACTCAGGCTGTTGCAGAGACATATGGGAATCAAAAATTACACACAGGGAGAGACACCTCAAGAAACATGAGGATGTGGGCAGAGGGGAGAGAAAGAGACGGTTTAAGGGATGGATGGAAAGCCCAGGAAAATGAGGGCAGGCTCATCATAGGACTGGGAGAAAGGATTTCCCAGGGACAAAACGTGCACCAGCTTTTCATAGCTTCTTTCAAACAGTAAACCGTAGGGAGCTCTCACTGGCAGCCTGGTGTTTAATCGCTGGGGATGTTTTCAGATCCCTAAACTCAAGGTGCTAGACTTGAACACAGTGTGCTTCGGTATCGCGCCCCAGTTCTGCACGCACACGTGTATGGAGCGGGGCTAACGGAACACGTGTTAATAAAGAAAGGCTCAGGTGTGCCCATTAGTCCCTGAGCACACAATCTCCTGTAGGTAGTTATGCTAACGGGAAGACCAGGGAAGGTAAGGGTCCTCAAGTTAAGTGAAACATCCAGTCAAATGGAAACTGATTTCTACCTGGAGCTGTTTAACCTCGGTATCGCCGTCCAGTGATCTATTTTTACCAGAGCATGGGAAATCAATTTTTAAAATAGTGAAAATCCATTACCATGACACTGTTACCATTTGGTTTAGGTTTTTCCTTTCCCCTGGCCAAATTTGAGAAATTCTATTATAAAAAAACCTAGCTCGATCTACAGATGAGTGTTTGCGGCTTCAAAATTAGGTGAACGGAATTAAGTGTCTCAATATCCACATATACCAAACAAACAAAATCCGAAAATGACAAAGAAACCCTGAAGCCCGTATTAAGAAAAACGCAGACAAATAGAATTAGAGAGAGGTGATTGTCCTTTGTCATGTGACCCCTCCTGTCACACCTTCCAGTATAGTCTTCTCGTAAATGGATATAGCAAGCAGAGAGACCAGCATCAGGAGGTGAGTTTATTTTCTATAGCCTCTTAACACCTTCTCTGTTGGAAAAATAACACTTCTGACAAGGCTCCAAGATTCAATTTGGAGAGGCTGAGACCTACGCGGAGAGGCCTCTGAAACTGTTTTGTTCATTCCTTTCAGCTCACCCTGCTTTCTTCCAGACACACAGGGGGGCTGAAAAGTAAAGAACCCCACGATGATGAAGAGGAAGCAATCTGGCTCAGGATAGCATGATGTCTCGGCTGAAAAGACCATCGGACTCTAAGGACCATGAACTATTTCCCATGTGTAATATTTTTCAATTACCCGTGCCCGGCTGGGAGTCAAGGCACAGAGAAGGAAGTCTGGAAGGAAGCAAATGCCGTTACCTCACTGCAGAGGAGGAAATGTCAAAGTCAATGGGGACTAATAATGTCTGAAGTCCCTCCCCAAGGGTATAGCCATGCTACCCAAGAATCACCTTCACTGTGATTCAGGGGACTTAAAGACACACTATTGCGTGGGGGCAGGGAACGGGGACCAAACGAAGCTACAAAATTCCAGAAGACTATTCAATGACATCAATAAAAGAATCAAGCTGGAGGTAATTCAGGTCCAAAGCCAGCACAGAGTAAAGGCGTTAGGGAGAAGATGACTCAAGCCCTCCATCCCCTCTCCTGCACTGTCTGAGTCGCCCTGCCTACGTACCCACCTTCTGACGCAGAGTGAATGACGCTTAATCCCGCCACATCCAGTTTTGTTTCTTAAAGTTCTAGAATGAATCCTAATTGATTTGTCCTAAAGAGTAGCTGAGCGTGAGATGATGGAAAGATGGCTCAGCGGTTAAGAGCTCCTCTGGAGGAGGGCCCAGGTTCAGCACTCACGTGACTGCTTACAACCAATCAGTCCCAGGGAATCCAGAGACGCCTTCTGGGCTCTACTGGTATGGGCCATACACACAGGGCACCTACAAACATACTGGCAAAACAGTCATACACACAGTATAAAAATAAATCTTAAAAGAAGGAAAAGAAAAGCAGCTGAACTAAACAGAGAGGGGCCTGCAGGTGTAGAGAGAAGTGAAGGAGTCTCCAGTAAAACCAACTATTCAAACCCTGAGTTCTGAGAATTGGATCACCCATGCTGAGTGGACGCTTCTGTGTGTCTGTGGTAGGTGGAAGCGAGGCCAAAGGCCACTCTGGTGCTGACACACCGGGGAGCGGGAAGAGTGTGACCGTGGAGAACGACGGTGGGAAGGCATTGGCTGCCGGTTCTCGGTGTATGTGGATTTGGGTCTATACTTACGGAGGAAAACCTGACTGGTGACACCGAGTGACACCTGGGCCTCATTACCATTCCAGCCATGTATATCATACAAATTTGTATTTGGGCAGAACGTGCTGGTAATTTAGATAAATATGGGGGATTTGATGGATTGACAGTCTTAAGCACGATTGTCTTCCAATTTATTTCTCTCCTAACCCTCTACAAGGTCCAACCAAGCTCTTCAAACATTGTGCAATGGTGTGTATAATAACCCCATTTAGAGACAAAGCATGCAATTCTATTATAAAGAAAATCTATCTTATGCAACAGAGACTCATTAACTGTCCGATGTGTATTGTCTCCATAAGCCAGCAGCAGCAGAACCAGCTGTCTCATAATACATAGCCTGTCCCTCTTCATTAAGCCACATCCATTTCTCTTTAAACCTAGTCAATTAATTTGTCACTTGGTTAGCAGCTCCATATGTCAATGAAACATCATAAGAAAAATCATAAATACGTTATTTCCTCACCAACAAATGGTTGCACCTTTAGGTTTCTGTTTCTTGTTTATTCAGGGTTTTTATAGTGTGTATCAACATTACTTGGCAGCAAGCTTTAGTCTTTAAGTTATTTTATGAACAGCCATACTAGAATAAAGCAAGATTCTTCATACTAAAAAACTGGCTTTCTCTTTGACTGAGCATATCTTGAGACTAACTACACTGTGTCCATGCTAAAACTGACATTCTCTTCCCTGGTACTCCATCCCCTCTGTGGGCGAGGTCACTGGGCATGACTGTAGACTCTCTGGTTGGGAGAGGCTCCACCAAGTTACAGCGGACAGCTGCACAGTAGACTGTCTGGATCTGCTAGGCGCAGTGTTAAGAAATAAGAGAGACTGGGGAGATGGCTTAGCAGTTCCCAGAGCAGATGTGGTGGCCCATCTGTAATTCCAGCCCTGGGAAAGCTGACCCAGGAAGTCCTGAATGAGACGGCTAGCTAGACTATCATGAAGGGGTTCTGGTTCAACTGACAGACCCCGCCTTAACGAAGAAAGTGGAGAGCAACCTAGGAAGGTCTCCCACTTCAGCCATTTCATGTCCAGATATGCCCACATACACTGTGCACACATGTGCTCCCATATACATTCAAACATGCATACACACAGAAGAACACACACTACATACACACAATGAAAAAGAAAAGAATTGAAAAAGAATTTAACTATACTACTAACTTCAAAAAATGCTGCCATCACTTGGCGAACTGGAAACTCTAGAAAACAATCACTTCAGACCTGGGGTGTTTGTAATTTACCTGACAATAAGTTAAAAATCTCCTAATTAGTGAGTGTTAATAAGAGCGAGTGCTGTAGTCGCAATGATTCAGACGCATAAGAGGTTGAGTTGCCTCCCCAGCCACGGTTTTATAATCACTGTTTATATTCTCTGTCCTTTGCATCTTTGGCTGGAAACAGAAGGTAGTTCACGGTCACCATGTACCTCAGTGCCTCTTCTTCCTCGGCTCGTCTACTCGAAGCCATAATCGGCTGAGAGGAACTAATTTATTCTGTTCTCATCCAAGTCTGCGCTTGGCAAATGCAAGTGCTTGATTCTGCTCACCCTGGAATCATCCGTTTGCCTGGGCAAGAGTCAGGGATATCTGCCACTCCCACCTCAGTGAACTAGCAGACACGTAAGAAGCAGGCAGCTTTCCTCTTGGCTAGAGATGCGCACTGATCTGCCCCACCAGGGCGAAACCCACCCACGTGGATGCCTCCAAGGACAGATGTGTGTGGCTCCTCTTTAATCTAGGCTTACCTGGAAGATTGAAAACACAGTCAATTAAGAAATAAAAATTCTTCAACCACTGCTTCTAAAAATGCCTCTTTCACGGAATATACAGAACAGAAATGCTGACTTCCTGAACCCTAGCGGGCATCATTTATGGTCCTAACTCCCACACTTAAACTTTGTGAGCCTGAGGTCAGAAGCGGGAGAGAGTTCTCCGTCCTTCGCACCTACTCTTGTGTTCCACTCATTTTGGGTGCTCAGAAGTCTTGCCGACTGCAATTATGGTGACGCCTCTATGCACCCCATAGCTTACAGGATTCTTCAGCTGAATTCTTCTTGAACTACCCTAGACCTCTAGATAACATCTTCCACTGGGCAGCGCTTGCACCCTGCATTCTGGGGCTACGAGGCTCGGCATTGTGAAGTCAACTTTTCCATGGTGTCTATTTGTGCATAGCTCGGAAAATTACTTGATGTGCAACCTTGATCTCCTCATTAAATGCTTCTAGAGGTTTCTAACGGTCCTGTTTCAGACACATTTTTGAAATTCATATGACTTGTAAATGTATTCGAATTAGCTGGCTCTGACAACCCTAGCTGAATGTGCATGGGCACGCTGATTGTGTCCATATGGACGTGCAAGGGTTAGTCTCAAGCTGCCTTCCTCGATTAAGTAATGTGTTGACTCTTTAACCGTGTTCTTAAACACAGAAATCCTCATCACACATGACTCCTTTCCAGAATTAAAAGAAAAAGTACTCTTTTCTTTCTTCCTTTCTTTCTTTCTTTCTTTTTTCTTCCTCTTGGCTTAAAATGTAGTTTTCTTGACTTTAGTTCTTTTTCCATACCCCTCACATGCATCCACAATTCTTAATAAGGTACAAAGCTAGATTTAATTTTTAAGCAAATTACATGACACCCCCTCCCCGCGCCAAGAAGGCGAGTCCAGAACACTGCCAAATGTATCTGAGGATGCCTGTTAACATTAGTAGGAAAATGAATTAGAAGCTCTGTAAACATATTACATTTCTGCATGGCTTTAGAAAAGGAAAAATAATGGCTAGTGTCTCGAGACTTTCTTGTTTCTTGGCTTTATAAGGAAAAGGTCAGCAAAAGTGAGCCTTGGGCCCATCTTGTTTATGATGTCATGAAGTGGCAAGGCCCCCTGGAGGAGGTACGAGATGCTAGAATTGGGGATGAAACAGAATTACGTAGCTTCGCTCCCTGTAAGCAGAAAACCAGTCACTACATCATGGGTCTCGGCTTTGGATGTGGATGGTTCCGTGTCCTGAGGCACTTGAGAAGTTTGCATGTTCTGCCTTTCACCGCCTTTATAACAATGAGGACAATGTTTCTGATAAAACCAACACAAACTTTCAAGAAGGATCTTTTTGTAAGGGATTTTATTTACAAAATACAAACAAATGTTTGTGAACCTCTGCACAGGGTAGTTAATCTCCTAGATCAGGTTGCTCTTTGTTAGCTGAGGCTGTTTGCCCTAGTCACCTTTGAACCCTCACTTAGCAATTGCTGTGAGAAATTTGCTATTGAAACACAGCAGTGTTAACTTTTCTTAAAACCACTAAGGAAACACATCCAGAGAGATCCAAGGCAAGTAAGTATTTATCTATGCAAGATTCACACCGAGGTAGAAAAGTCTGAAACTGAAGTTTACCAACCAGTAAAGGAAAAGCAAACAGCTCATTATAAAGATTAAGATATCCCAGGTCCCCAAAGACATGGACAGTTTTGGCAGCCAAGGTAACATCTAGTTGGTGAGCCACAGGAGAGACACCAGGTATGTCTTGTATATTAGTAACCATAATAACAGAAGTAATCAGAATATTTACATTTATGGGCCAGAAAACACCTTTGCTGTAAAAAAGAAAAAATGAATAGATAAAGCCCTTTGAAGTCAGGCCATTTGAAATGTGTCCATTGCCATCCAGTGGATTAAATTTCTAAAATGTACCCAAATGCTATGTAGGAAAGTTAGGCATTATTGAGGCTCTTGTTCAACTGATGACATCCAGGCTCCTCACCCTCCATAAATGGTGCCCATAGGTCATTATCTTCATAAAACATTTCTGTTTGTTTGCTGCTTGCTTGTTTTTTTGATGGTGATATCTCACATGGTGCCTCCTCTCAGGAATTTTCTTTCTATAAAGCTTGGCATTGAGAAGAAAATTACTGGGTCCCAATAATCACAGCCAGACCATCAGGTTCCAAACACAAAGTAATAAAAACGGGGGGGATCAAAAAGGATTCATGGATGAGGGCCAGGTCACCAGGAAGATGAGAACAGTTTGGTCCCAAGCCCAATAGTTCTGTCTTTCATGGGGGAAACATTTTGGCAGACTCATCTCATGTTGTGGTTGTTCTTGCTTGTCTGAAAATTTTATACATTCAGGTTGCCACTGACAATTGATAACAGTTGGGAGAAAAAGACTCAGTCTTCTTAGGGATGTGGTCCCAGCCCATGCATCAGTAGGCCCCACACCAATGAATAAACGGGTCACACTGAGTGGACGCCATGGTTTTGTTTTGTTTTGTTTTGCTCTTTTAAGCATATAAAGTTGGGAAGGAAAGATGGCTGGGGGGACAAGGGAAAAGTTGAAAGAAAGTGGAGTGTGTTTGAACATGTGGAATGTATTTTAATTCAGTTTAATTGACCATTCAAAAGATTTCCCCTGGGGGTTGTAGAGATGGCCCTGTGATTAAGAGCACTTGCTTTTCCAGAGGACACAAATCTGGACCGCAGCAGCAGAGAAAGATGGTTCGCAACTGATTTGTAAATCCATTTCTAGAATATCCAAACCCTCTCTGGCCTCCAAAGGTACACTGCCCTCCCATGCACACACACACACGTAAGATACACAGTGGAAGGGGGGGGGCGTCATTCTTTTTTAAAGGGATGAAACAGGTATTTGAAGTTATGCCCTGAAACAGTCTCCTGGGTGGGATTCAGCACCCAGAGACAAGCAGCAGCTAAAGGGGGAAAGAACGTGATTGAAACACCCCCTTTTGCTCTTGTGAGTTTGTTTGTTCTAGCTCCACAGAGTAAACTGGCATGTTGACACTTGAAGGCAAGCACCTGCTAGTGAACGGCACCTTGGTCCTCTTTTTACTTTGAGAGCTGACCCTCTAATGTGCCCAGGCAGGCCTTAAACTCCAGATCTAACTGCCTTAGCTACCTAAGCAGCTGGGATTCAGGTCTGTGCCACTATTCCTAGGCTTAAAAGGTAATTTTTGAGCTAGGCAGTGGTGGTACACACCTTTACTCCCAGCACTTGGAAGGCAGAGGCAGTCAGATCTCTGAGTTCGAGGCCAGCCTGGTCTACAGTGTGAGTTCTAGGACAGTCAGGGCTACACTGTAGTAGGATGAGCAGGCTGCGTCCCAATGCCCAGCTAGCTTAACCCCCAAAATAACCACACAGAAATTGAATTAATTAAATCACTACCTGGCCTATTAGCTCTAATTTCTTATTGGCCAATTCTTACACCTTAATTCAACCCATTTCTACCAATCTGTGTAACACCACAAGGTCATGCCTTACCGGGAAAGATTCTAGCCAGCATCTCAGGCAGGAGCTTCATGGCATTTGCCACCTGCCCTTCTTCCTCCCAGAATTCAGTTCTCTTTTCCATGCCTACCTAAGCTCTTCCCTACCAAAAGGCCAAGGCAATTTCTTTATTCAACCAATGAAAGCAACACAAATATAGAAGGACCTCCTATACCACTACACAGAGGAATCCTTTCTCAAAAAAAAAAAAAACAATAAGAAGAATTTTTGATGCAGTTTGGTTTTCCTGCAAAATTGAACTAAAATTTATTTTAAAACTGTCTCATAACAGAATTTATAATGTAACTATAGCAATGTATGACTTGGAACAAATAATTAAGACAATTACTAATCATCATAATAATCAACGAATTGTGAACTTATGAGATTTGTGTTATTTAAAGCTATTTGATATTTGTAGCAATTTCCAGTGAATCTACAGATAACTAATATGGACATTTTCACTCTTATCCTAAAATAGTATCTTAATATGGTTGTAGACTTCATTTCCCCAAGTAGAAAACAATGTTGAACTTTTTTTCCAAGCTTATTCCCTATTTTTGTTTCTTCTTCTACTTACAGTACTAGGCAGGAGGATTGTGGGTGTCTGAGGACAGGCAGGTGACTCTGTCCTCCATGACAGGCAGTAGGAAGCCATTGAGAAGCGGCTATCCCTCTTTTCCTGCAGAGTAGCTTTCTCCACTGATCTGTTGTTGCGGGAGGTCCTTCCACCCCTCCAACCAATAGCTGCTGTGATACCAGCCCATTGGGGTGTGGTCTCTCTCCCTTTAAAAAAGCGGCTATTTCCTCTGCTCGCTCTCTTCACTTCCTGCTCCGCCGGAGACTAGACTCCCTTCCTGGTTGTGCAGATGGCTGTTGTCTGGGACGGTGATCTGTAAGTTTTCCCCTTTAAATAAATAACACCCTATTAATCATAACTCCAAACTGGTGTGGCCTTGTTCGTGACTTACGCCTTCAATCTGTAATTGTTTATACATGCTGGAGAGATAAATTTTGTGCCTTAACTTTCTTTATGATTTCCTGGAGGAACAGACGGCCTTAATTTTAGTATAGTAAGATTTAGCTATAATTTCTTTTATGGTTAATGCTTTTCGTGTTTCATTTAAGTACTCTGGCCGAGTGTTTTTAAAAAGATTTCTTTCAGTAGAAATATTCAAAGGCTTCATTAATTCCTTGCAAATCTCTTTCCAGCTCCTAGATCTTTAGCGTTATCTCCATCTGCACTCACGCTTGGTTAATTGGTTCTCTTCCAGATTCTGGTTTGTCATTGACTTTGAGTGTGATTCCAACATTTTCCTGGTGACACCTATGTTGGCATCACGGCACATGCCATCTAGTGTGAAGATTATAATTTCGCCTTCAGCTGCTTCGCATTGTGTTTTCACTGAACTGTCGGGCTGCACTGTGAGGGGATAATTCCACTGAATGACCGATACCAGTGTTGTCCACACGGGTCACTGATGCTGGTAGAAACAGGTGAGCAGGGACAGGCTAACAGGAAGCTTGTTCGTGACGGTAAGCCATGGCATACTCAACTCCCTGAACAATATCGCGGCTTAGAAAAACTGGACAAAGAATACTGGGGGTGGGGAGGTAAGAGAAGCCAATCCACCCCTCACACAGAACCTGCATTAGAGACACGCCAGGCACAGTGTACACTCGGCGTGTGTTATTTCAACAACTGGGCATTGTGTTCCAGATGAGGAGGGCGAAGCTAGGAATGGTGGTGCCTTTCCAAGTGCAACTCCTGAGCAGCAGAGACAAGCTTTGGAACTGACTGGCTCCAAACAGAGTGGCAAAGATTGGGATGAAAATGTATGTATATTTTCCTTGTTCTCAGCCACTACATGAAAAAGGGGAACAATTCAAAGCAAGGCACAGGAGTGAAAATGTGAGGATTTAAGAGAGTCCAGGAAACAGTCCAAGGTGGCTTGAGCCAGTGGGTGTGCGAGAAGGGTTATAGCAGCTTACTAGACTAGAGAGGAGGGTCACATGTGTCTCTAAGGACACAAGGTGAGTCTATCTTTAATTCTTGTAGTAGGAAGCTATAGAGGTTTCTTGGTGATAATTATCCTTATATTAATAGCATGATATATTATTTCTATACTGCTCTGATGAGTTATTTATATCATGAAACATATAAGTCAGGGCATTTCAAAGACTGAGATTAAAATGCACAAGCATGTAGATGGTCTAGTATTTTCTTCTAACACAGAGTGGGTTGTCTCAGGTGCTCTTAGATTGCAGAGAGGATCTGAAAGAAGACAATGCCCAATGAGAACAGGGAGGTCAAAGCAAAGACTGGAGACAGATGTACAAGCACGTATAAACAGACTGAGGCGGTCAGCAACTGGCTGGAGCAGAGGGAGAATGGAGGAGTCAGAGTGGTTCTTGTATCTCAAGCTATGGAGCTTAGAAAAGCTGCCACCCCATAAATGTTCAGAGCAGGTCAGGGAGAAGGCAGTGCCAAGCAGAAGAGGACGTCCGAACTGAAAGAATCAATAGGACATCCTCATAACGTGCAAGTACCAAGGAATCTGAGCCCAGGATGTGGAAGTGTCTAGAGAAATCATCTTGACTTTCACCCTCCTGATGTCTTAGCAGGGAATGGGACCTTTGAGAGTAAAGGCAGCATTTGAGAAAATGACCGGGACAATGGTTACCACTGGCCAACAGGACAGGAAGGAACAAACAAGCAAAGGAATGAGAAAGAAGAGTTAGATGGGGGAAGAGAATCGTCCAACTTCTGACACAAGAAAAAGAGGAAGGCACATGTAAAAGGAGTGGATAGCATCAAATTCAGTAAGGCTTGGGGGACTAAAAAGCAGATGCATCCCATTTATTCAAGCATGCACTAACTCCTCCATTCATTTGCACTCTTCTACACACACACACACAGGCGCACGCGTACACACACACACACACACACACACACTTGTGCTGCCCCAGGCACAGGGCTACACCAGTATTAACATCTTTGCAGCCATAGCTACCCTCTAAGTTACTGGCTATTATTTATTAAACAGCTGCTACACACCAGCCCCATCTTTTCCCTTTTACAAATGATACCCATCCCTTTTAATGATTCTGCAGTTCACTAGTCTCACCTTATTGATAAGGAGATGTGACCCGAACAAGATCACTCTTCCCAGAGCTGTGAGAAAAGCCCAGTTCCCAGAGACCATATTCCTTCTGTGATTTAAGTCTAATGGTGGAGAAGACAAATGACTCCAGGGTATTCTGAGATAAGGCAAGTTCTGGATAATAACAAACAGAGAAGGGACATCTCTGAAGAGAAAAGGTCCCTGGCATTCCATCACCCATAATACTCCATCACTTTCTGAGAGTACAAGGGATTCCACTTCCAAGGTCCCCTGGCTAGGATCACTCATCCTTTTCTCCTGAATCAATCTCTCTAAAGCTTGTTTCTCAGTGAGTTGTACAGGAGCGATATAAACCAGGCTACAAATGTGTTGTTGGGTTTCCAGAGAGAGACAATCAGGAGATAGCTTTAACTAAAACTGGGAATCTTTGGTCCTAAAAGAAGTTCGTTCCTCTGGCCCAGTCTAACGTCTCTAAATTAGAAGTATACCTTCCGACTTCTACACCCTCCGCTCTAAAGACTGGAGTCAAGAGTTATTCCAGGCAGTAAACTCCAACCCCTCTCTCTAAGATGCACCTGACGGAGGAAACGCAATGGAAATTCTAGAACCATAGTTAATTTGACCTAGGATATTAGTGATCCCCTGGGGATTAATAAAAGAGAAGCTGATGTCAAATAGTAATTATGACACTAGCCAAGCATTAGTGAGCATATGTCAGAAGCTCAGGAGAAACCACTTTCCACAAATTATCCCTGTGACCCTCTCACATCTATTTCTCTTTGTAATTGAAAAAACAGGGACTCACTGAGGCTAAGTCGTGTGTTTAAGACTGCTATAGAGATCAATACTTTGCAATGGTACAGATCTTGGTTTATTGATACAAATGTAAGATCAATTTTGTTATATATATATATATAGATATAGATATTTCTGCTCTTGAGTAAGGTATTGTGCTTGTGCAGCTCATTTAAAAAATGTAATGTATAATTAAGAGATACAGGTTAATAGATAGTCATCTATAATAGTCAAGTTTGTAGTCATGTTAGTTAGATTTTCTAGATATATAGAGATATATTTCATTTAGATAGGTGTTCTTTAAATCTTTCAGAGATCTTCAGAATATGACATTTACAATGAGGTACATTTGCTCCTGGCAGCACCAAATACTTCAAGAGGAAGAAAGGTATCAGAAAGGCTCCTTACAGAGTTTGTTAGCCATTTAGGCAAGAAACTGCTCTTGCCTGAACTGTTTGATGTTATGCTGTGTGAACTGGACGTGCAGTACCCACAGAGAGATGACTGCTGAACTTGCCTAAAGGTGAGATGGTCCTTCAGGGTTTCTGCTTCATGGAAAAGTCTGCAAGACATTCTGCAGGACACAGAAGAAAGTGACTGACAAACTGCCAATATAGGCAGAACTGTCTTTTAAATTTCCTGCTTCATGGAAAAGTCTGCCAGATACAATGGGCCTGTAGTCTGAAGATGGGTGCCCACAACGTTACAGAAGAACTTTGGGTGATTGTACAGGAAGCCAGATGTCTGTCAATTCTAGAGTGTTGGAAGTTGCTTACAGTGCACTTCCTGTTTACTTAAGTAATATTATATCCTTCTAGATTCGTTGATGGAGTTGAAAAATAGATAGTTATAGTTTTCCTTAGTTATGATAAAAGATAAAGTAGATATAAATATTGTAACTATAATTCTTGCTTGATAACTGCTTTGTTATATGTAATTTTACTATGTTAAAATTTAAATCTTCCTCTTTATTTAAACAGAAAAGGGGAAATAACGTGGGAAGTCCTACTGTATATGTGTTACTTTTATTGATTAATGAATAAAGAAGCTGCTTTCAGCTAGTGGCTTAACAGAATGGAGCTAGGTGGGAAAACTAAACTGAATGTTGGAAGAAAGAAGGTGGAGTCAGAGACATTATGGAGGGGAAAGATGCGAGCTGCCCACTGGAACCTTGCCAGTAAGCCACAGTCACGTGGTGATACACAGATTAATAGAAATGGGCTAACCAAAGATATAAGAGCTAACTAGCAATACACTTAAGTGATTGGCCAAGTAGTGATTTAAATAATATAGTTTCTGTGTGATTATTTCTAGTCAGGATGCTCTGGAAATAAACAAGTGGCCTCCTACAACACAAGACTGCACACCTTTAAAGTACAAAGGGAAGATTTGGTTTGGAGCAGAAGGGTTATTGGAAGTTGAACCCAGGGCACACTTGCTAGATAGGTAGTCTATTGTTGAGCTACAACATCAAATTCTTTTTTTTAATTATTACCTATTTTGAGCTAGGGCCTCATTCAATTGATCCTGGAGCTTACTTTATAACATAAGCAAGCCTTGAGCCTGTCATCCTCCCACCTCAACCTCGCGAGTAGCTGGGATTACCAGCCTGTAGCAGCAAGTCCAACTTTGCTTTGTGATTTTTGCCCCTTTTATATTTCTTAGGCCTCTTCCTCCTTCTAGAGAGAAGCTCATTTATCATATAAGGACACTTACCCAGGAATACCCACCCACAACTTTTACAATCCCGAAAACTGAAAAGAAAATGTACTAAACTAAACCACATCACTTGAAAGGATGGATATCATAGAGATATACAATGGAATTATCTACAGCTTGAAGTGTATCCACATAGATCGCAGAAATATAATGTGGAAAGGGTATAAAAAGAAATGAATAATAATGTGTGTCATATAATACCACGTGCAGATGTAAATGTAAAATACATCAAGGAGCTCTATCTATTGCTGGTAGGTACATCCATTTGCAGTAAAAGTTCCAAAATATATGGAAGGATCACACATCAAATTCATGATGGTCGTTGTCTGCAGGAAAGGCAGGGAAATGAGGTTTTGAAAGGGAGTAAAAGAAGTCTTCACTTAATTTTGAAAATCTATCTATCTTTTAAAATCAGAAGCAAACATGACACAATGCTATCAATTTTCACTTGAGGCCAGCCCTGGGGGCTCATACCTTTAATCTCAGCACTCAAGAAACAGAGACAGGGAGATCTCTGTGAGTCTGAGGCCAGCCTGGTCTACTTAGAGAGTTCTTGGCCAGCTAGAACTATAGAATGAGACCCTGTTTCAATAAAACAAAATTAGGTAAAAAAAATTTTAGGGTGCCTGCTGAGATGGCTTAATGTTAAGTGAGCTTACTGTTTGGCAAATGATCTGAGTTAGTTCTTCATACCCCAAAAGTAAGTCATGAGTACTTGGAACTCTAGCTCCAGAAAGAACCCATGTGGTGGCCTCAAAATGCAACTGCATTCACATGCACACACCCACATGCAGTCACACACATGCACATAATTTAAAATAATCCTTTTTTAAATCTACTATTTGACATGGATAGAGGGTATATGTATTACTTTTTTCTATATTGAATTGTATTCTGACTTAAAATACACACACACATACTTTCTCCAACTCCAATATTACATACAAATTCATTATGTGTTATTCTAAACTTTTGTGATATTTCTTAAAATTCTGTTTTGTATCCAGAAGGAACCCAGCCTAACATTTTCAAAAATAAGTTGCTAACACTGTCTATCATTCTGTGTTTCCTTATCATACTATAGTTATTGGCTTACACCCTTTTCTCCTCCGTGAGATACTGTCAGACAATAGTCTTGTACACTGTAAAGATTTGTCACTTGTATTGATTTAATAAAACACTGATTGGCCAATAGACAAACAGGAAGTATAGGCAGGGTGACCAAAATAGAAGAATTCTGAGAAGAGGAAAGGCTCAGTCTACAGTCATCACCCAGATGCAGAGGAAGCAGATGAGAATGCCTCCCTAATAAAGGTACCAAGCTACATGACTAACACAGACAAGAATTAAGGGTTAATATAAGATGTAATAGTTAATAAGAAGCCTGAGCTAAAAGGCCAACCAGTTTATAAGTAATGTAGGCTTCTTTATATTTCTTTGGGACTGAATGGCTATGAAACTAGGTGGGACAGAAACCTCTGTCAGCAATAGGATTTGCTCACGTCATAGTTAAGGACCATTTCTTTACCTTTTGTATCAAACAATAAACATAAGACTTCATTCCTGATGTTTGTTAAATAAGTGAATGTATAAAGGGAAGGGAAGGGATGGTTGGATGAATGGATGGATGGATGGATGGATGGATGGATGGACGGAATGGTGGGTAGATGGATGGGTGAATGTGCGGCAGGGTGGATAGATGAATAAATCCATGAATGGGTGGGTAGGTAGATGAATAGGTGGATGGATGGATGGATGGATGGATGGATGGATGGATGGATGGTATAGTGGGTGGGTGGATGGGTGAATGGGTGGCAGAGTAAATAGATGAATAAATCCATGGATGGGTAGGTAGGTAGATGAATAGGTGGGTGGGTGGATGGATGGATGGATGGATGGATGGTATATTAGTTTCTTATTGCTATGAAATACCCTGATAAAAGCAATTTAAGAGAGAAAGCATGCAATATGTTTCAAAGTTCCCAATTAAAGTCCATCACAGAAGGAATGTCACCATGGCAGGAGCTTGGATGAGCTGGTCACAACTTTTTCTGCTTAATTTTTGTCAAAGGGACACAAACTGAGTCACTTACGAAGAGGGAACTTCAGCTGACATATGATAACCCCACTGGCATGACTCAGAGGCCTATCCTCCATGTAATTCTAGATGCTATTGAGTTGACAAGTAGCAGTAGCCATCACAGATGGATGGATGGATGGATGGATGGATGGATGGATGGACGGACGGACGGACGGATGACTCAGATACATGCTAAACAACTCTCTACCTATCCTATGAAGACCCTCATTCAGATTACATCAAACAATCTCAGGAAATCAGAAAGAGCTTACAGCCAAGGTAATGCCTAATTAATGTCCATAAAACAGAACCATGCTAGTTAGTAGGATGGCCACTTGTGACTGTCTAGCACTTGAATTGTATATAGTCTGAACTGATATTCACTGTAAATCTTAATATACATCAGCTACTACCTACTTTCTGCTCTGTTGCTATGGTACCAGAAAATGATGTAAAATAACATGTTGGCAACTTAAAGTTCATTTGGTCTTGAAGTAGTATTAGTTTGAATAAATTGAGTTAATCAATATACATTATCAAAATCAGTTTCACCCAACTCTTTTCATGCTTCCTCATTGTGGGTACTGAAAGATTTAACATCACAGATATGGCTCACACTATGAATTTATTGGGCAGCTCTGAAATCAAGCAACAATGTTGCCTTACATCTAGAATTATAAAGAAACCCATCCAGTTTTCACATGTGCCTAATCTGAATGCAAACCCACCACCTCTTTATATAAATAATGGCACGAAACTAGATGAAAAAGTATGAGGTCATTATGCCGCCCAGCCGACAACTTGGAAAATTAGACCTTGCGCAAATTGTTCCATAAAGCACTTAATAAAATTTTAGGGAAGTGGAAAATTGTGTATTAAGTTCTGTAATGCAAAGTAGATTTGTTTCCAAAAGAACACCATAAGAAGAAAAGATAGCATCCAAAAAAAAAAAGTAGAACAGCCACAGAGGAGGGGATCTTTTGTGCTCAGGCTTCTGTAGCCCATAGAATGATGATTAGATTGTACACGCACGCACACACACACACACACACACACACACACACACACCCCTCATGAGATTTCTGATTTCTGCCATCCTGGGGTTACTTACCAAGCCATATACATAAAGACCCACCAGATCCAATCACCGAGCTATCATGGGCAAAGAGAGATTAGCAAGTATCTCTCAGCAATGCTCAAGGAGATGTCCTAGCCCCCTACTTAAAATCCCCCTTCCCTCTTAACACAACTGCTCGCACACCCCAACTTCAAATGTCATGGAAGCTCCCTTTCCTATGCTGCCCTCTCTGTTCCCATGAGTGGGTATCTTAAAAGTCAGGAGAACTGGCTAGCCTTGGGAAACCCTGCCTCAGCCGGGTGCAGAGGCTGGCCTAGAGCACAGAGACATGGCCCTCTCCAGCAGGCAAAGACCAATGGCTCTGCAAATCTGATTTATTATCTGACGTCCTGTCCAGTCAGCCAAAGCTGGAGCCTGGGATGAAGAAGTGAAGCAATTGTGTGTATAATGTTGGGGTTTTCACAGGAAGCTCCAAAGATGGGTTTCCAGGAAATGAGAGCTATATGATGTCTACATGTACCCAAGTCAATTTTGAGCTAGGAGGAATTCAGGTTGCCTCAGACCTGGTAGAATGAAAAATATTCACAAGTCAGAGAGCGCTAAGTGTATTAGATACCAAAGAGGGATGGAAACTTCCCCCAAAGAGGTGCCATTTGACACATATCAATTTCACAAACAACACTCGTTGACAGACCCTTAAATAGCAAAGACATTGTGATACAGAGTTTTGAGGGATTGGGGCCACTCTGCTCCAGGAGGCACTGGTGTATATTTTTATTATTGTTTTGCTTTTATCTGGACAAATTTATTACATCTCAAGATCCATAGCCAGCCGAACACCGATGTCATTAATCTGAAAGCTAGCTCAGCGGTGCTCCTTAGAACTCCATGCCCCTCTGGACACTGTCGCCTGCCCCCCTCCTCTGCTCACTGCGCCCGCTGAGACCTGCAGTCACCCCACCTACCACCCACTCAGCCTGCTAGCCTTCTGGCTTTGTTATTTTGTTTCTCCTTCCTCAAGCCCACACAGGAATTCTTCCCCAGTGCCCTATGCAACACACCACAGTGCCACCTCGTGTGTGTGTGTGTGTGTGTGTGTGTGCACATCTGTACATGTGAAGACAAAAGGTTGTTTGTGGTTTTTATGTCACTAAGTTTCTGTCCTGGAGCCTTTCTTTCATAACTGCACGTCTAGTATAGTACATGGTAACAAAGAACCAAAGTCCACTGCCTCCTTTCTCTCTACCTTCTCTTCTGAGCCTAGGCAAGCAAAGCTTCTGAACCCGGCTCTCGTCCATAACTGGGCTTTCAGGAGTACTGTAGTGATCTTATGGCCACACCCTGCCTCGGCTCTCTTCATTGGCCAATGTCTAACAGTGATGAGCTGCTGGCTTCTTGGAATCTTCTCCTTTTCCCCTCCCCTTGCCCTCAGTGATTTTTGCCTTGTAAAGTTTAATCAGGAGCATCCCACGAAAGATCCAGCAAACCCCCAATGGACTTTACCCTCCTGACTGCTAAAGTAAAGGGTGGTGGGTTTATCTGAGCAAAGGATGTTTTGAGAAGGGAGCTACAGAATGGGGAGGCTCTAGGTGTGCTTGGGTATACTGCATAGGAAGCCCTAGCCTCAAAAGAGGGCACTGCACACCACCTGCTCCCGCCCAGAGTTGTCATTATAGGAAACACAAAGTCTCTGTAGCTCCCAGTGTTGCTGCTGGATGTGTTTGTCACCCTCCATCGTCACAAGCCACCAAGAACCACAAGACGGGGTCTGCTCTTCTTGGGGCACCTGGTCCAGGGGTCCTCTCCCTGGTCTTACCCCATGACTACTGCATTGCCAGAAAAGCTCAGCAGCAAGGTCCAACCTGGATAGGAGCCCACAGACTCAAGGATAGGAAGACCCTGAAGAAGGAATTTCATCTCCAACAATAGGCGATAGAATGGGTGGTTTGATCAAGGTTTTGGATGTACGTTTAGGAATCAATAACTGTGAACACAGAGCGGGAGTGGGACGGGTGGAACTGTTTTACATGCCTCACAGAATAGAGCTTGCTGGACGGATGTGGGATATTTCTATCTTCACCCACCCCGCAGAGCTGTTAAAACACCAAGTGAGACAATCTATGTAAAATTGCTTTGTCGACTGAAAGCACATTTATAATTTGTAATTATCCTGTGATATTTTGCCTGTAGCTAGACCAGGAGTCAGACTGTGGCAATGCTGGGGAAGATTTAAATATCTGCTAATTTCTTTTGACTCAAAGTTCCTGGGATTGTTTATAAACTGAAAATCCTAATTAATTTCCATCCTCTCACCCCTTTTCACATGTACAGAGCGCAATACACCTCCGACTCTATTACCAACCAGGCAAGTTCCTTAGGACTTCCAGGGAAGCCACTAGACTTTGGTGTGAGCCCTGACAGCCATCTTATTTCCCACGATTTTCTTCTCCAGTCTCCTTCCTTTCAGTCTCCCAAGGCATGATGAAAATAACAGTTTCCCACAGTCACTTCCTGGCCATCCCGGTTTCCTTTGCCGCTCTGCTTTCCAGGGAGTCCTTTAAGTTCCCAGCCGAGGGAGACAGGAACAATGCCCTCTAGATGTGACTGGACTACTATACTCATGAACCCACACAACAAGACCAAGCCAGTCGGCGTGCTGCGGGTTGGCGTGATATTCAGCTGCCAAGTGGACACAGTTTACAGTCATCTGAGGTGAGTAAGCTAGCAAGCAGTGTTGCTTCATGGTTCCTGCCTCCAGGTTCCTGCCTCCAGTTCCTGCTGACTTTAAGTGAAGGGCTGTCACTTAGAAGTGTAAAACAAACTAAACTCTTTCTCCCACGAGTTTCTTTTGGTCAGAGATTTGTTTTTTTGCTTTGTTTTGGTTTTGTTGTTGTTGTTGTTTTTTTTTAATCACAGCCACAAAACGAAACTAGAACAGTAACTCAGCCCTGTATCCCCAGCAGATGAGAGGCAGAGGCACAAGGATTGTTTGAAGATCGAGGCCAGCCTGGTCTGAGTTCCAGGCCAGCCAGGGCTACAGAGCAAGACCCTGTCTCAAAGGAGCTGGAGAGATAGTTCGATGGTTAAG